CTCTCTCTCTCCGGAGTGACGTCATCCCGGGGAAAACTTACAAAGAGGACTACATTAGTGAGTAAAGTTTAGTGTGTTTACCGTTGCGTGATGTGTGAGGAGAGAGAGAGAGAGAGTGGAGACCAAGACGAGAGAGATGCAGAGACGAGGAGCTGAGAGCAGGATGAGAGGAGAGAAGAGATAGAGAGAGAAGGGAGAAGAGAGATCGGAGAGGGAGAGAGATGAGATGAGGACGAGGAGGAGAGCAGAGTGGTAGTAGAGACGAGATAGAAGAGAGAGAGAGACGAGAGAGAGAGAGAGAGAGAGAGTGTGAGAGAGAGAGAGAGTGTGTGAGAGAGAGAGAGTGTGAGAGAGAAGTGTGTGTGTGTGTGTGTGCGTGTGTGTGGGGCTCAGTAGCGCCCCCACCCCAAACTTTCTGACTCTCTGACCGTGTGTGTGTGTGTGTGTGTGTGTGTGTGTCGGTACCGACAGGTCCGGGCCGGTACCAGCTGTTTGTTGTTGTTTGTTTGTTGTTGTTTGTTTGTTGTTGTTTGTTGTGTCTCGGTGAGATGGTCCGGTAGGGGTGACTCAGCTCCAGTTGATAACATGTACATATTAATGAATGATTGTAATTGCCTCTATAGGTCTCTGTGGTGTGATAACACATACATTTAATTTAGAATAATACACTTTAAAGACCTATGAGAGCCTTTAATAAAATAAACAAGTATAAAAGGATAATTTAATTAAAAATAATTAAATGTAATATAATAGAAAGAAAAAAACATGTATTTTCCATTCAAAATATTATTAATTGTCTTTAAATTATTATTATGTTTTATATTTATTTTCCCAATCAAACGCTTTTATTACAATAAAAAATGCAATGCTTTAAAACATACTAAATATTATACGTTAAATCACTTGAGATCGTCAGGATGGAGTTCAGTCATGGTTTGCACTTTACAAACACTATTTATTTAACTGTGTTGTGCATTTTAATAAACACTACCTTTACCCCAAACAATAACTACAAATAAAACAACATGTATTTGTTCCTTTGTGGTCCATATTCAGAAAGTAGGAATGCCACTAATGATAATGATAACTATCTGTTTGATAACCTGATACCTGAAAAGAAGGACTGCAGGTGTTTATCATTTAATAATGCATTAAGTTAATGAAGTGTATTCAAGTTGTAGATACTCAGTACCGACAAATTAAATATATTCAGGATTTTGTGTTTTTTCTCAGATTAAAGTGAATAATTGAGGAACGTTGCTGTAAACACACTAACCTCTGCACACGAGCTAAAGTTAGCCTGCGAGGCATCCCAGCTATCTGTGTGTGTGTGTGTGTGTGTGTGTGTGGTGTGTGTGTGTGTGTGTGTGTGTGTGTGTGTGTGTGTGTGTGTGTGTGTGTGTGTGTGTGTGTGTGTGTGTCAGTAAACTGATATCATGAGTTGGAGGATCATCTCCTTCAGATTAGCTCATTACTGATTCCGTCACGTCGCTCATCGACCAATCACAGCGCGCCGTCTTTCATCACGTGAGGATGTCATCAAAGAGGCGGGGCTAGAGACAGGCGTACAGGAACGTAAACATAGGCGTCATCTACTATTTTAATTTATTTTAAAATATTTTTCTACTTATTTTTAACCTTTCATTTAATTTGTATTTATTTGTTTGTTATTATTAAATTTTTATTGTATTATTCATTTTATTTTTATCTACTTGTTTCTTTTTATATTAACATATTTATATATTTTAATTTAATTTAACCGACTTTATTTTATTTTGTATGTATTATAATATAATATATACAGTCTGAATGCATTCTAATGATTTATATTATAATATATCTATCTCTTTTTACTTGGTTGTCGCACTATTTGTCGCTAGTATCTTCAAAATAAAACCTAAAAAACATGAACGTTTTTTCAACAGGTTTTTATATTTCATAAACTATGAGCTGAATAACCAACGTACATAAAAACTGGGTCGGTTGGAAAAATGTCACTTCATCAAATCCAGACTAGTCTTCTCACACACTGTAGTTTTCACACACACACACACACACACTTTAGTCTTCACACATTTTAGCCTTCACACACTTTAGTCTTCACACACACCGTAGTCTTCACACACACACACACTTTATTCTTCACACACTTTAGTCTTCACACACACCGTAGTCTTCACACACACACACACTTTATTCTTCACACACTTTAGTCTTCACACACAACTTAGTCTTCACACACCGTAGTCTTCACACACACACACACTTTATTCTTCACACACTTTAGTCTTCACACACACCATAGTCTTCACACACTTTAGTCTTCACACACTTTAGTCTTCACACACACACACACTTTAGTCTTCACACACACCGTAGTCTTCACACACACACACACTTTAGTCTTCACACACACCATAGTCTTCACACACACACACACACTTTAGTCTTCACACACACCGTAGTCTTCACACACACACACACTTTAGTCTTCACACACACCGTAGTCTTCACACACTTTAGTCTTCACACACACCGTAGTCTTCACACACTTTAGTCTTCACACACTTTAGTCTTCACACACACCGTAGTCTTCACACACTTTAGTCTTCACACACATCGTAGTCTTCACACACTTTAGTCTTCATACACACACACACACACACTTTAGACTTCACACACACCGTAGTCTTCACACACACCGTAGTCTTCACACACAACTTAGTCTTCACACACCGTAGTCTTCACACACTTTAGTCTTCACACACTTTAGTCTTCACACACACCGTAGTCTTCACACACTTTAGTCTTCATACACACACACACACACACGCACACACACACACACTTTAGACTTCACACACACACTTTAGTCTTCACACACACCCCAGTCTTCACACACACCTTCCCTCAGTGTGTCCTGACTTATCGGCTCACATCACACACAGATATCATGTAATACTTAGTGTTTGTGATGCCAACATTTCCCACTGCAAGTGAAGGCATCACGTTGTCATTGTGAAGGAGAGACGAGTGTGAAATGTTTCCTACAAACCAGGCTGAGGGCTATCTTTAGCTGTGTGTGTGTGTGTGTGTGTGTGTGTGTGTGTGTGTGTGTGTGTGTGTGTGTGTGTGTGTGTGTGTGTGTGTGTGTGTGTGTGTGTGTGTGTGTGTTGTGTGTGTGTGTGTGTGTGTGTGTGTGTGTGTGTGTGTGTGTGTGTGTGTGAAGGCCATTCATTATCACATTCCTCCGGAGAGCCACATGGAGCTCAGTCTGTCTGTGATCAGATCAGAGGATCAATGATCTGCAGAGGGACCAGATATCATCGTTAATCCCAGAAAACATATCATTACCGGTTTCAATTCAATCTTAAAATAATCCACTCTTAGATCTGTGTGAGCGCATGAGTCAGCTGCAAAAAGAAGCTTATTTAAGGTAATTCGGCACTTTAATGTCTAAATTGCATCAGGAATCCCAGAAGAAGATGCAGAACCTGCCTGAGAACATGCACACTTTAAAGTTTAATTCAGTTAAAAGAAATCCACTCATAGATGTGTGTACGGGGTACAGTGCAACACAAGCTAATTTAAGATCATTCGGTATACTCTAGTCCTGGGGTGCCCACACTTTTTCAGCTTGGGAGCTACTTTTAAAATGACCAAGTCAAAATGATCTACCTACAGGGCCGCCCCTGATCTACCTACAGGGCCGCCCCTGATCTACCTACAGGGCCGCCCCTGGTCTACCTACAGGGCCGCCCCTGGTCTACCTACAGGGCCGCCCCTGGTCTACCTACAGGGCCGCCCCTGGTCTACCTACAGGGCCGCCCCTGATCTACCTACAGGGCCGCCCCTGATCTACCTACAGGGCCGCCCCTGATCTACCTACAGGGCCGCCCCTGATCTACCTACAGGGCCGCCCCTGGTCTACCTACAGGGCCGCCCCTGGTCTGCCTACAGGGCCGCCCCTGGTCTACCTACAGGGCCGCCCCTGGTCTACCTACAGGGCCGCCCCTGGTCTACCTACAGGGCCGCCCCTGGTCTGCCTACAGGGCCGCCCCTGGTCTACCTACAGGGCCGCCCCTGGTCTACCTACAGGGCCGCCCCTGGTCTGCCTACAGGGCCGCCCCTGGTCTACCTACAGGGCCGCCCCTGGTCTACCTACAGGGCCGCCCCTGGTCTGCCTACAGGGCCGCCCCTGGTCTACCTACAGGGCCGCCCCCGATCTACCTACAGGGCCGCCCCCGGTCTACCTACAGGGGAGCCCCTGATCTACCTACAGGGCCGCCCCTGATCTACCTACAGGGGAGCCCCCGATCTACCTACAGGGCCGCCCCCGGTCTGCCTACAGGGGAGCCCCCGATCTACCTACAGGGCCGCCCCTGGTCTACCTACAGGGCCGCCCCTGATCTACCTACAGGGCCGCCCCTGGTCTACCTACAGGGCCGCCCCTGGTCTACCTACAGGGCCGCCCCTGGTCTACCTACAGGGGAGCCCCTGGTCTACCTACAGGGCCGCCCCTGGTCTACCTACAGGGCCGTCCCTGGTCTGCCTACAGGGCCGCCCCTGGTCTGCCTACAGGGCCGCCCCTGTTCTACCTACAGGGCCGCCCCTGGTCTACCTACAGGGGAGCCCCTGGTCTACCTACAGGGCCGCCCCTGGTCTACCTACAGGGCCGTCCCTGGTCTGCCTACAGGGCCGCCCCTGATCTACCTACAGGGCCGCCCCTGGTCTGCCTACAGGGCCGCCCCTGGTCTGCCTACAGGGCCGCCCCTGATCTACCTACAGGGCCGCCCCTGGTCTACCTACAGGGCCGCCCCTGGTCTACCTACAGGGCGCCCCTGGTCTACCTACAGGGCCGCCCCTGATCTACCTACAGGCCGCCCCTGGTCTACCTACAGGGCCGCCCCTGATCTACCTACAGGGCCGCCCCTGGTCTACCTACAGGGCCGCCCCTGATCTACCTACAGGGCCGCCCCTGGTCTACCTACAGGGCCGCCCCTGATCTACCTACAGGGCCGCCCCTGATCTACCTACAGGGCCGCCCCTGATCTACC